TTTTTTTTTCGTTCCACTTCTGACACCAATTTGTTACGTCTCTAGTTAATTTTCCGTAACTTCGTTCCGACGAAACTTTAGCGACACAAGTCCTTACTTAATAAAACTGGTTTATTCCTTCCGAGTACAACTTTACGACACACTTAATTTCAACAGTCGCTCTATAACAATACTATAATTCACGTCTCACGAGGCCAACAATATTTTGTCCGCATACATTCAATTACTCATTACACTGTTGTCCCGTCACGTTGTGAGCGTCTTATATATATACCAGACTAACATATATCTAGTAAATGCTAGGGCATTCACGAATAAACAGGATATTTCTAGAAAACGTGGCGTGACACTAGTCATGTGACCTCGCTGACGCAACAATATCATTATAATAATTTTCTGGGGAGCATGCCCCCAGACGCCCCTAGATTGAGCTATTTTTAGCAGCTCCTTATACTTTCAATCTCCCACTGTAAAACCTACATATTTAACTAAGCATCCCAACTTTGCAACTCCTTCTTACACTGCTGTCAACAATTTATTAAGTCAAAGTTCAATTTGATTTATTGAACACGTTAAGAGTGGGAAAATCTGATGTGAACTGCACTACATGCCATACGTATAATAGTGCTGAATCTTTCAAATTTTGATCGCTGTCGTGGTCAATAGTTATATGATCTCCTAATATAATTATGAATAGTTACTTATGAATAGTGGCTTAAGTAAAAAAAGATGCCCCCTCCTGCATAAAAAGTAATTGGGCCCCCTACTACATTTAACTACTCTTGTCGACAATTCTCATGTTTGCCTGGCTCTTCTAGCCTCTTTTGGATCAGCTATTCTCGCAGTAGCTCAATTAGCTAAAACATTCCCTTAAAAGAAATCCAATAACTCAAAAGCTCTCGTGATGCAGACCTTTCTTCATCAGGGGTAAATTGTACGTTTTAGGGTACGAAAAAGAAAAACGTCATGAAAAAAAGTAATAAAATAGATAAATAAAAAACGATGGATATGTCTAACTTCCAAACAATTGTAATGAGGGCAGAATTTACGTTTCCTTGGACTAGCTTCAAAATACTTAATGCCCTATTTTCCCCTTTATTCAGATCAGATGGAAATAACTCGTTTTTACATTTTTGAATCAGTAAAATTTAACAATTGTGGTGAACTACGCTTGATGGCGTAACAATCTTACTACTCAGGGTAACGGAATCAAGCACAAAAACCATTGAAAAGTCATGAAGTACTTTTATTTTCAAGAAATGTAAAATTTAGAAACACAATAACGGTAATGCTATAATGCCACGTCTGTAAATGATTATATTTCTTTGGAAAACCAGAAGCACAGGATTTTATTGCAGAAAGTTCTGTTTTTGCTAATGTGAGTATCGTCCTTACTTGAATACAAGAAACTGTATGAGTGTCAAGGAATACTTCCAAATGAAAGACTGTCATTTTCTAAATGTAGAAGTACTCATAACTAAGGAGGAGAGTTCACTGCTGTGGAGAGACAGGTTGTAAGAGAGAGGTGTAGAATCTAGGAAAAGTATTCTTCTGAACATAGTGCTTTCACTGATGCTGCAAAAATCCCTGCTATTTGTCTCTCTATAACTATAGACTCAGCAAGATTGGCCAGCATATGGTGTACCAAAAATGGCTCATTAAGTGTTGTCCCTAAGAATTTATCTTAGTACAAGGGAATCACAGAAGGCTAAGGGCAAGGTGGAATGGCAAATTGCGAGTCTTAGATTGTATGAAGTGGTCTCTGAAAGACTGCCACACCATCACTAGTCAGAGTAACACAAGTCTGGTCTGGTCAATACCCCCAAGAAGAACTGGATGTGCTGGTAGTAGATAAATTCCATTAGTAATAGCTGTTTTCCTGGCAGGCGAGACATTAGGCAAAATTGGAAAAGACTGTGACCATGGAGAAGTTGTGAAGAATCAAGTGATCCATATAGCTAAGATTAAGGTTTAGAAGAGGAACACCACCAAAGGTCTGGCTGCTTATGTGGAAGATCGGCACCATCTGCACGGTAAAGCTTGCACTTTCAAGGCTTCAGCAGATGAGTAAGACATACTTGGAGATAGATTTGTCAAAGAACTTCCCAGTGAGATTATAAAGCAACATTTGAGTGTGAGTGACATTTTCACCATAACAAAAACAGTTCCTATTGCAACCAGGTACAAAGTGGTAACTTTAAGCCAGTTGCTAGAGATTGATAAGTCTGCAGCCGTTGCTTCACCTCAGACAGACTATCCTGTTCTTGTGCCTCCATCATGCTGAGGGTTAACCAGTCATCCATATATCCTGATACTGCAAGGAAACCACACTGGTTTCTAGTGAATGGGCAGGACTATCCTGGTCTTCCTATGGTTTACATGCACAGCCTTTGCCAATGATACTTCTGCTTGAATATCATCTGTTACTAGAGGAGCAAATCATTTGATTTACTTGTGCAGGAGAATCAGCAGCACTAATAATTTGATGAACAGCAAATTCGGTAAGGCTATTGATTCCAACCAACAGCTCAGCAGGGATAAGATAGTGAACAGCATTCATTCTTTGCCAAGCAGCAGAATGGACAAGGCTGTCTGTTTTCACTAATAGCTCAGTAGATTCAGGATAACCAACAGCAAGTGATCAGTTCTGGTGCTAGATATGCAGAAAATCAACATAACCTAGGTCCAGCCAGACAACTAACTTGGGGAGCATGGCAGACAAATTGCACTAAAAGGTTTGATGGTGAGCCCAGCTCTCTCATGGCTGGGTGGTAGTCGATATGTACCTGTATGTACTTGTAAGGGTATAAGCTTGAGAGATCAAGCTTCTGGTCAGCACAAGAGCAGCCAGAATACTGGCATATCTTGAAATATATCAAACCCTCCAAGTGAGACCACTAATCTGAACAGTAGAAACAAACTTCATTCTTACAAATGGTGATAGACTATATGTGAATGGAGAGGCAGATCTCTGGCTATAAAGTGTTGCTCATAAAATAAAGATAGTTATTTCCAACCTCAGCTCTGGCATTGGCATCCTTGGCATGGAGTTACTGTGGAAAGTATCAGTTAGTTTTGCTTGT